CTTTCTGGAAACTTGGGTTTACCAAACACTAAGCCGCACCTGGACCCGGTCAAGCAGAAGTAAACAACAAGACCAAAACTTCAAGTGAATTCATCTGATATAAAAGTGTATTGAACAGATACATATGTACTCGAGTTTATCAAACTGTTCACCTTTTTTCTGTTCCATTTTTGGTTCTAAAGTTCCATCTGTTTTAAACAGACCATGAATGAAACGTGGAACAAAAATTATTTCCCAAATTTCAAAAACCTGCAAATCATGTAAATAAATGTTTGTATTTCATCATATCTTGTGTTATTCCATCTTTGAACTGTTGATGAAGGGACAGGATTTAAAAAAAATATATATATATTTAAAATGATAAAAATGTTCTTGGAAGGACTGACATATTTTATAGAAATAGTTTCCTTTCATTTTGAAGTAATATTAAAGTTTTCAGAAGAAAAAAGCGACAAATGATGTAAAATCCTGCACCTTCTACTTGTTTGTACAATTTTCCCTCCGTTACTTTTCCCTCCGTTACCATGAACTTTCTTAATAAAAAATCTCATGAGTCAAAAAGTCAGAGGTTTTTCAACCTAATCTTGTACCATATGGTAGAAAACTATATGAAGCAAATATTCAAACCAGTTTGTTAAGGATATGGAAGTGAGAACCAAGAGTTATCACTGTTTGGATTTATTGACCAAAAAGTGCTGCATATTTCATTCCCTCCGTTACCAACATGAGTTTTTTAATTTTTTAGTCTTGAACTTGAAAGAATCTCACAGGTTTAACTTGACCCTGTTGGAGTGTAACTCTTTCCTACATTCTGATACTTTACTTATTTCAATAGTTCCTCTAGTTTCTGAATAAGACACATTTGAATGTCAAAAATCTGGCCCTGTTTCCTCCGTTAACACTTGACTGGACCCACATGTCATTGAGACGCTCTGGTGACGTCACACTCACTTACTCTTATACAGTCTCTGACACGACAGAAACAACAAACTTTATGTCTCTCATTTCATCTTTGGACTTTGTGGATTTTGGATCATTATGAAAAAAACACTCAAAATCTTCACAAAATGTTCATATCTTAGAAAGTTTTGGAGGTAGAGATTTAAAATTGGTACCAAAAGATTCACAACAGCAACATTTATATTCAACTTTCACTGACACCATGGCCCTAAATGGTGCCGTTTTCAGTCAGGCAAAAGAACAACATCTCCGTGGTGGAAAGTTACACAGTGCAGCTTTAAACGTCCGATAATACACAAAAACGACTCTTGTTTAGATTTAAACCATGTTCTAATGTTGTTCCCTCCTCGAAAACAGACCTGGAGTTGTGTTTTGTTTCATTCACACGTTTGAGTAAATCTTTATTATTCGTCTGTCTACGTCTCCAAAACTCAAAACGCTCTGTTCCACCCGGTGATGTCATGAATTGGTCGTTTTCAAGCTCCTTCAAGCAGCTCCTTTGACCTTTAGTTCAGCAGAGATCGGCAATTCCAGCTCTGAAACGATCCAGATGATTCTCATGAAGGTGTGGGGAGTTTAAAAACACACTGGAGCACTTCCTGTATCACCACACGATGACATCACAAGGTGGAGCAGAGTGTTTCCTGTTTGAGAGTAGGAGAGAGCTTTAAACATCTGCGTTCGTTCGTTCGTTTTGTGTCCGGTGAAAGACCTGTCCCTGTCCACGGTTGCGTCTAGATTCACCCGTCGCACCTGTCGCACCCGCCGCACCCGTCGCTGGACACTGCGGTACTTTTCAAAGGTGCATTGTGGGTAATTTCGAGTGCACACTGTGTGACATTTGGACACCAGTGTAAAAGAATCCGTGTGTCATTCGATCATTCCGATTTTCAAAATAAAATGAAAAATAAGAAAATGAAAAAATAAAACAACTATTTTCTTCATTATTTGTCTCCAAAACTAAAACTAAAAAACAGAAAATGATTCGGTTTTTTCAGTTTTCGATTTTGTTTTTAAATGAAAAATGGAAAAAAAAAGGATAACGGACTAAACCAGGACTGAACCAGGATTGAACCAGGACTAAACCAGGACTAAACCAGGACTGAACCAGGATTGAACCAGGACTAAACCAGGACTAAACCAGGACTGAACCAGGACTAAACCAGGACTGAACCAGGACTAAACCAGGAGTGTCGGGACGGGCCCAGAGGTGCTGGACTGAAACTGGTTTAGTCCTGGTTTAGACCTGGTTTAGTCCTGGTTTAGACCTGGTTTAGTCCTGGTTTAAACCTGGTTTAGTCCTGGTTTAGACCTGGTTTAGTCCTGGTTTAGACCTGGTTTAGTCCTGGTTTAGACCTGGTTCAGTCCTGGTTTAGACCTGGTTTAGTCCCGGAAGCAGGAAACGACTGTTATCCATTTTTTTCCATTATTCATTTAAACACAAAATCTAAATCATTATCTGTTTTTACATTTTGGTTTTGGAGACAAATAATGAACTAAATTGCAGTTTTTTCATTTTCTTATTTTTGTTTTTATTTTGAAAAACGACTGACACATGGATTTAAATGGCTTGACCCTAAATAGTGCCCTGTGTAGAACTGTGGCCACGTTTACATGATGTTTTTTTTTTAAATTCCGAAATAATAGTTCTGAATTAAAACATTCTCCCTGGAGTTTTGGGCAGAAACACCAACGGATTTACGTCTTCGGGAAGGAAACACACTTCAGTCGTTCCTCCACGGACACAAACACCGTCCAGACTTTTTTAACCCGCAGTGGTTCTGATGATAATTGTTGTGCAGCAGCTGGAGAATTTTGTCATCACACTTTCTGTCTGTGTGAGGAGGATGAAGATAAAACCTCAGCCCACTCCCGCATCCCGCTCACAAATCCAAAGAGACGTGGAGGAAAGTCCCGAGACACGACTGATGGAGCCGGATCGAAGTGCGACACAACGAACATGCGCCGACGCACCAGCATTATTTTAACAAGAACAAAGGAGAAACATGATCCAGGAAGAAATGAATTTGACTAAAGGGGTGTTCGCACCAAAGCGTCAAAAAACGCCCTGACGCCTTCGCATTTGAGTTTAGACGCCGCGGACGAACGGGAGAAAAATAGTTGAGCTGGAAACAAGAGCCCGGTTCCGCTCTTTTCCCAAAACAATGTCAGACCAGGTTGAGAGAGACTTGTGTGTAGGCCTGTAACGATAATCAATAAATCGATTAATCGTACGATAACTTTTAACGAGCTTGATCACTTTTTCAGCCAGGATAAATTCTATTTGCATGCTTGTTTGTTTTCCTCGCTCTTTCTCGCTGTCAAAGAGACTGAATGTTAGAAAGTTTCTATCGCTCTCTGACTCGTCTCGTTTAACAAACGTAATGACGCTTGAACTAAATGCGTGTTGTCTGAGTGCAGAAACACAAGCTAGAGCGCCGCCGTCAGAACCAAAACAGTTCATCGCGGAGTGAAAAAACAAGTCACGATGCCGAATCAACACGAGTGAACGGGACACGTCTCAACAGACACGTGCGTCAAATGCAGCGAAACGCAAATGACGAGAAGAAATGCCTCAAACATCAACAGCCGATATAAACCCAAGCGACAGAACGAGCCCAGCGCCCGGGAGAACCCGAAATCCCAAAACGGAACCGACACGACACCAGACAGGACAGAGGCTCCCTCAGAGCGAAACAGCATCATGTGTCGCGGGTTCATACGAACATTTAAATGACCAAAATGACGAGTCTCACAGCAGCAGCCACAGAGACGAGACACAATATTCCAATGTAAGTCAGCGACTAAAATCACTTTTAAGGACAATTTTGTTACAGAGACTTAATAATCCATTTTATTTATTGCTTTGGTTGTGTTTGGTTCATCAGTGGTTTATTCAAGTGCATTTTTGTGAACAAGTCGTCACTGTGAGTCAGACACATTAGACTTAGTCCTGTGTTATTAGTCTGTTTTATTTATGCCTGTTGTTTTTGTTTGTCTAACACTTCCTGTGTTAAATGTTCTTTAGAAAGTAAAGTTTATTGATCATTGAGAGGATGTATTTGCATTTTTATTCCATGGTCATTATATTAGTTGAAATTGGTCTCAAAATGTCAATATTATAGTTTATCGCAGTAAATTCTTGGTCAATTTATCGTCCAGCAAAATTTGTTATCGTTACAGACCTACTTGTGTGTATTAATACATTAAAACAATCAGCGGAGACGATCGGGCCGACGACTGCAGCGTATGTATATTTATACTGCGCAGTGATACAGTCCTGGTCTAGTCCTGGTCTAGTCCTGGTCTAGTCCTGGTCTAGTCATGGTCCGGTTCTGGTGTAGTCCTCGTGATCCGCTCGGTGATTGAGGCATATATATTTCGACTCCGCTCATGTTTGTGGTTCTGGTTCTCGGGTCGTTCCTTTTCTTCCTGATAATAACGTCGCTGCGTCACTGGATACTCGTCCCTGATTGGTTGACGCGGCACGCCTGATGCGAAAAGTTCAGCATTTTCAACTTCTTGACGCTGACGTCTTGGACGCGCGTCTAGAGCGTCGATGCCAAAACGCTCAAGACGCCAGATTCGCGCGTCCACATAGAGTTTACACAGAAACTCGATGCTGTGACGCTCTGGTCTGAACACCCCTTAAACCTCCCACTTACTTCGGAATTAAGTGTCAATCCAAATAATAATTTTCATCGCCTATTAAGTGCTTACATGGTCTTTTTAAAACGGAATTAATTCGGAATTAAATCCCTCCTGTAAACGTGGCCGGCGTGCGGATATGGACACAGCCTCAGCTTCAGTTCGAAACGAAATCGGACTCGTGATTATTGTTGTGCATAGTTCGGTTTGCTCACTGCTTGAGAACATCTCCGCGTGGACCGGTAGAACGGTAGAAAAAACTGCTGCGTATCGAAAAGGCTTTTGTAGAGACGACTTGGTCATGTTACCGGAGCGACTTCAGAGCAAGTGTGAGTAAAAACTATCTGGGCATGCACAGTTCGATAAAGGTACAAATCAGGAAGGGAGCAAACCCGGGATTCTTCTTCTTCTTCGTCTTCTTCTACTTCTTCTTCTATGGCCACGAGCTCATTGTTCTCTTCTTCTTCTTCTTTGTCGTCGTCTTCTATGGCGTCCGGCGGCGCGGGGTTAAAGGGATGCAAGCGGACCAGGCCTCCTAGTGATTGATCCATGCCTCTACAAAACTACGTCTCTATAGGGTAAAGCTAACATACCTAAGCCGTCTGGAACTTCATGCATCTTGGCTTGGAATCGTGCCTTAAAAAAACAAACAAAAAAAACAAAGAAAAGTCACAAAAGATATGAGCTGCATTCCCGTCCTTCAGTTTTTAAGGTCCGATAAATAAAGTTAAATTTAAAGTTTCCTCTGTTATAAATATCATAAATAACGTTAGAGTCCTGCATATTCCCGTGGGCGGTGCCAGAGGAGTCGTGTGCTACAAGGTGGCGCTCCGGTTGTGCTCCCAGAGGGCGTCGTCCGCGTACAGGGACGGGCAAGGCATCAGGCTGTGAGCGGCGAGGGGGGCGGGGTTGGTGGTGGTGGCGGCGACGAGGGGGGGTGGCGGGGCTGGAGGTGCACGTGGGCGAAGTCGTGGAGGTGGGCGGTGGCGGGGTCGGCAGCGTGGGGGTGTATGTGCGGCGCGGGGGACGGCGCGGAGCGGGTGACGCCGCCGAAGGCCAGGTGCAGCTCGTGCGGCCGGTGCAGGTGCGGCGAGCAGGGCAGCGAGGTGGGCGTGTCCGTCCAGAGCGGCGGGCCGGACGGGGGGGTTGGGGGGGGTGGCCGGGCGGGGAGGGGTGGGGCATGTAGGCGTGGCGCGGCGAGCAGTGGGCGGGGCAGATCGAGGGGGCGTGGCTCCGGGACATGAAGGAGTCCATGAGCTGCGCCATCCTCGCCATCAGCTGACCCAGATCTGACACCTCCTTCCCCAGAGAGTTCACCTGCACAAACACAAACAAACACACACACACAGACGCACAAACAAACACACAAACACACAGATCAGCCACATAGTTCATGTATTGAAGAAAATAGGTGGAAGTTCGACCAAGATCATCAGAAGATTCTAGGTTTGACTCCTGGTTGGCTCGCCACTTTAACAGGTTTATGTAACGGGTTTAATAGTTATAGACAATGTAGTAGTAGTAGTAGAAGTAGTAGTAGTAGTAGTAGTAGTAGTAGTAGTAGTAGTAGTAGAAGTAGTAGCAGCAGTAGCAGTAGTAGCAGTAGTAGCAGATTGATGGAATCTGTGTTGTTTTTCCAAAAACAAAACCAAAAAATAAGAAAATGAAAAATGAAAAACGAATGAAAAAACAACTATTTTCTTCATTATTTGTTTCCAAAACCAAAATGAAAAAAAAATTTTAACAATTCATTTTTTTCAGTTTATGATTTTGTGTTTAAATAAAAAAATTGGAAAAAACGGATAACGAACTGAACCAGGACTGAACCAGGACTAAACCAGGACTGAACCAGGACTAAACCAGGACTAAAACAGGACTGAAACAGAACTGAACCAGGACTGAACAAGGACTAAACCAGGACTGAACCAGGACTAAACCAGGACTGAACCAGGACTGAACCAGGACTAAAACAGGACTGAAACAGAACTGAACCAGGACTGAACAAGGACTAAACCAGGACTGAAACAGGACTGAACTAGGAATAAAACAGGTCCAGGACCAGACTGGACTGTGACCGGGACTGAGACTGGGACCAGACTAGGACTGAAAATGGTTTAGTCCTGGTTTAGTCCTGATTCAGTCCACATGCGGCGCAAAAGTTCGGCTTCACAGTTTAAGTCACGGAAACGGCCGTTATCCGTTTTTTCCTTTATTCATTTAAACACAAAATCAAAAACTGAAAAAAATTAATCGTTATCATTTTTTTTTTCATTTTGGTTTTGGAGACAAATAATGACAAAAATAACATTTTTTTTTTTTTTTTCATTTTCTTATTTTTGGTTTTATTTTGAAAAACGAATAAACGAGCGACACATGGATTCAGGTACGCTGTGACTCATTTGTTCTCACGCGCCCCCTGCTGGTCAGATTAGTCACTACACCACAGCGCTCCTGCTCGGTCCATCTGCTGCTGCTGCTTCATCACACACACACACTGGGCACACCTGAGGGCCCCCGGACACGCTCAGGGGCCCCCGCGGAGAGGAGGTCACCGGTCCGACAGCGTGTGGCCCAGATGAAGTGTTCCGTCGTGTGATTGGATAACGAGCGGGAGCGCGGCGAGTGCGGCGAGTGCGGCGAGTGCGGCGATCGCTCTCACACGTGTCACAAAACCACTGGACCGTAAAGAGGAGCTGCTGCAGTTTGGACGACACAGTTATAAAGTGACTCCGTAGCGCCCCCTGCCGGCCGGCCTCCCCCCGCCAGTGTCAACAATACAAGAAACCCCCATAAAAAACACAAATGAATAATTAAAAATCCTATATTACACAAAACGGACGAGGTACAGAGCTTCTACAGTTGGAGCGGTTACGTTTCATAAGTAATAATATTTTATAACTTACAAACTAAATAAATCAGTCGACTGTTGAATAGAGCCACATTTTTGGCGGTTTGTTTGAGTCTAAATTGACTCTGTTGTATTTTTCAACTGTTAAAAACGACTTTTTACTGAAGCTGTAACAGAAGCTCCACAGTCTCATGTTCTTACTTAAACGTATGTATTCTTTATGTTCCCGCAGCTCTATGTTCTCACAGCTCTATGTTTGATCAGCTCTATGTTCTCACAGCTCTGTGTTTGATCAGCTCTATGTTCCTGCAGCTCGATGTTCTTGCAGCTCTATGTTCCCACAACTCCGTTTTCGCAGCTCTATGTTCTCACAGCTCTATGTTCCCTCAGCTCTATGTTCTCACAGCTCTATGTTCCCTCAGCTCTATGTTCTCACAGCTCTAAGATTTGTCTTTTTTCTAAGAGTTTTCTCAAAATAAAACTAAGTCAGGTCATTTTTATTTTTATACAACATTTAAAGGGGTGATTCAACTTGAGTCATTTCTACTTAGGGTTTATTTTTTGCTTGTTATTGTTGTTCAGTCTACAAATATTTTGCTTAATTAAATAGTTTGAATGTTTGAATGTTTGAATGTGAAGTGTTCATTAAAGAATTCCAGAGAGGTCATCGTGTGTTGTGTCTAAACTGCACTAACTCGTTTAGCTGAGTTTAATTTCACGTTAAGAGTTGGCGTGGTCGTGTTGGAAAGGGTCAGCTCTATGTTCCCAGGGCTCTATGTTCAACTCATCATCAACTGTTGCTGGATAATACGTCATAAAATCTGATGCAAAATAATGATAAAGGAAATGTGGGAACATAGAGCCTAATTTTGGAGAAAAAAATTAAAAATAAATTATAAAAATAGAGCTGAGGGAACATAGAGCTGTGGGAACATAGAGCTGTGGGAACATAGAGCTGTGGGAACTTGGAGCTGCGGGAACATAGAACTGCGAGAACAGAGATGGGGTAACATAGAGCTGTGGGAACATAGAGCTGCGGGAACATAGAGCTGCGGGAACATAGAGCTGCGGGAACATAGAGCTGCGAGAACATAGAGTTGTAAGAACATAGAGCTGAGGGAACATAGAGATGAGGGAACATAGAGATAAAGGAACATAGAGCTGAGGGAACATAGAGCTGAGGGAACATAGAGCTGTGGGAACATAGAGCTGTGGTAACATAGAGCTGTGGGAACATAGAGCTGTGTGACCATAGAGCTGTGTGACCATAGAGCTGTGTGACTATAGAGCTGTGTGACCATAGAGCTGTGGAACATAGAGCTGCGGGAACATAGAGCTGCGGGAACATAGAGCTGCGGGAACATAGAGCTGCGGGAACATAGAGCTGCGGGACCATAGAGCTGTGTGACCATAGAGCTGTGTGACTATAGAGCTGTGTGACCATAGAGCTGCGGGAACATAGAGCTGCGGGAACATAGAGCTGTGGTAACATAGAGCTGTGGGACCATAGAGCTGTGTGACCATAGAGCTGTGTGACCATAGAGCTGTGTGACTATAGAGCTGTGGGAACATAGAGCTGTGGTAACATAGAGCTGTGTGACCATAGAGCTGTGGGAACATAGAGCTGTGTGACCATAGAGCTGTGTGACTATAGAGCTGTGGGAACATAGAGCTGTGTGACCATAGAGCTGTGTGACCATAGAGCTGTGTGACCATAGAGCTGTGAGACCATGGAGCTGTGTGACTATAGAGCTGTGGGAACATAGAGCTGTGTGACCATAGTGCTGCGGGAACATAGAGCTGAGGGAACATAGAGCTGCGGGAACATAGAGCTGCGGTAACATAGAGCTGTGGGAACATAGAGCTGTGTGACCATAGAGCTGTGTGACCATAGAGCTGAACATAGAGCTGCGGGAACATAGAGCTGCGGGAACACTGGCACACCCGCGTATCTGTAACTAGCCCCAGGATTACGACTCGACTCTTAATTTTCTGCCCTCGTCTGAATTCAGTTTTTCCGCCCTGAAACGGAAACTGTATTTTCACTCGGCCCCTGCAGCTCCAGCCTCATCGTCATTATTCGAAGTGACCACAGCGTCTCTCCTCAGAGCCCCGCGCACACACACACACACACACACACACACACACACACGCACACGCACACACACACACACACACACACACACAGTCTCAGTTTTGTCAAATCCGTCCGCTCCAGGCAAATAAGCAATTAGTCGGAGTTATTAGCATTCGGGCAGAGACGCGGAAACGTGGCGGGACCGGACGAGCATCTGCCTTTTCCCCCGTGTCCGTCTCTGGAGCACGGATAAAAATAGACGAAAAGTGAGAGCGAGAGGACAGTCCAATCTGACAGAGTGTCCACCCACAGGACACGGAGACACACACACACGAGAGACACACACACACACAGAGACACACACACACACACACGGAGACGGACAGCTCCACATCATCAGGAATCTGCGCCCACACACACACACACACACACACAGGCACAGGCACGTACAATAGTGAATAGTATCTGAGCCATGAGAAAAGCTCTTAATGATGCACAGAGTTTGTACTCGGATACTCGCTGTGCGCAGAGTGAAGCGGAGGAGCACAAAAACTGTACTCAAGTAAAAGTAACGTTACGGCAATGTAATATTACTCAAGAAGAAGTACAGGTAACACTTTATAATAACTACACCTTATTTAGCCTTAATAAAGCATGAACAAAGACTTAATTAATAATGATTCATGCTTAGTAACTACTTAATTACTACCTGAATTAGCACTTAAGTTGCACTTAATTCACCTGTGCTGTAAATAGTTACTCAATACTTCTTAATTACTCATGAACTAACCATTTGCATGTTTACAAATGTATATTTAAGTACAAATTTGAGCATTTATTAATGATTAGTAAACTATGAGAGAATGATTTACTAATAATGAAATGCAATGATCATTCAGGCAGCTGTTATCTGTTAGTTAAATCTTTCTGAGAGTTTTTCTAAAGTCAAGAATAATTATGCTTTATTAAGAATTTGTTAAGTTTGGTCAAATTCCAGAGAAACAATAATGCATTATTAGTAAATCATTCTCTCATGGCTTAATAATCATTAATAAATGCTCAAATTTGTACTTAAATATACATTTACAAATGAGTAATTAAGTAAGAAATACTTATGAGTAACTATTTACAGCACAGGTGAATTAAGTCCAAGTTAAGTGCTAATTCAGGTAGTAATTAAGTAGTTCCTAAGCGTGAATCATTATTAATTAAGTCTTTGTTCATGCTTTATTAAGGCTAAATAAGGTGTAGTTATTATAAAGTGTTACCGAAGTACACAGCAGTGGTTCAAGAAATTACTCAAGTAAAAGTGAAAATGTATTTGGGAAAAGTACTACTCCTACGCCTTAGAAACTTAAAGAGTAACTTTCAGGAGGTAAGAGCGGATTTATA